ATTTTCTTCACTATTAAATAGTTCATCAGTCTTTTCCTCATCATGATTTATAGTAACACAATTATTATTATTTTCACTGCTTAGTTCTTCATTATTGGTACAATGTAAGTTATCATACACTATATTATCAAACATATTCAAATTAAATGTATCATCAAGTATTTCCATTGGCATATTTTGTATATCAAAATTCAAAAACTCATCAACATTAGATTGTATTTGCTCACTACCAGGTGTTTCAGCTTTATTACACTCTTCTATTATAAGTTTTATTTTGTCATTATCTGTTAATAGTTTATCTTGTAAAATAAATTTGATGACATGCTTTGCTATTAAAAACTCATCAATTGTTGGTCTAAGTAATACATCAGATTTTAAATCATTGTTGGGAATGGAGGAAATATCTGATGTATTAAATGATCTATTTGGTATGCATTTATCGTAGTCAACTGCATTTTCATCAAAAGGATAAAGACCACATGCTCTAAATCCATTTTGGATGACTTCAATTGTTATTTTGTCAAATGCTTCCTTAAATATTGTAGCAAAATTAAATTTATTTATTGTTTTTGAATCACACTGTTTGTATTTATGAACAACTTTTTTCCAGTGTGATTTTAATGGCTTAAAAATAGAGACATCGCATGGCTGTAATATATGTGTAGCATTTGGAGGTAAACAGTACAAATGTATTTGTTTATCAGCACAAAATTCAGATAAATCTAAGCTTAAATGACTACTGTGACCATCCAAAAATAATATCACGGGGAATGGAACCTTTTTTTCGACCAAACTAGGATATAAAGAATTTGCTATATATTCAAAAAAAGTGGAAGAAATCATCCAACCACTATCCGATCGACCAAACACCCAACTATTAGGTAAATTTTTAACAATTGCAGCAGGTATACGTTTGTAAGGATAAACAACCATTGGAGGAAATGATGTACCATCAGCTGAAAAGGAACATAAAACAGTTGTACATTCTTTTTCTGGACCTTTTGCAACCTCATAAAAGTTTGGCATTTGCTTTAGGCATAATACTTTGCCTGTTTTAGGGCAAGTATTCATTCCAGTTTCATCACAATTTAGAATGCGTCTACTATCATCTAATATATCCACACAGTTTTCATTTATTAAAAAATTTTTCACACCAGCAAACCAGTTTTTAATTTGGTCTTGTGTTACCAAAGCCCTTGCTTTTGATACAACTTCAGCATTTCTTTTCCCAATTTCACTGTGGCGTTTTAAAAATAAATTTAACCATTTAATACCAGGCCTACAATTAATGAAAGGTGTATCACGGGTAAACTGTTTCAATACATTTTGTACAGAGTCCCTAATATCATCTGGTCTGACTGGAAAACCAACTGCTGCCTTGGCTAGAATCCAATTCTTAATTCTAATTTCTTTTTCTTTTGACAGATATGTCTTAGGACCCATTTTTCTTTCCAATGGAACCTTTTTATTTAATTTATTTGATAGAGTACCTTTAGGGATATTAAAACTAGCACTAGCTTTACATAGAGTCATTTCTTTTTGTTGAACTGCTACCATTGCCCTTTTCAAGTCCTCTTCACTGTACCTGAATCGCCTTTTTACCTCTTCCATTATATATAGGTACAATTATTTTATGCTAAATTAAAAATAGTTATACCTAACAATATTAATTTAAAGTGTACTTTTTTGATTGGTAATGTTCATTCACTAGAATTTACATTGAAACACCAGTAAATGAACCAACAATAAATACCTGTTCATTTATTGGTACAATTCATTTAAAACAACATTGTTATATAGTTATCATTTTTGTAAAAGCATTATATATTTAATTTTGTTAATTTTAGCCAAAAAAATTATTTTTACTTTTCCAGTGAATGAACACTGTGTTCATTTAATAGATTTGTAGTACTTCCCTAGTCCAGTACATGAACATCATGATATCAGAGTTAAATAAACATTTTAGATAATTAAAAATGACAAATTCGTGTTCCTGAACATTTATACATCAATATTAGTATATAGTTACCTTTAAAATCTAATGGTTGGATCAAAAAAACCTTATTCTGTGGACCATTATATTTTTTAAAAATAAGACATTTGATATCATTATTACCTTTATCTACACATGACTAATAAACGATATTACTATCAGTAATTCAAATTATTATCAAATACTTATGTTTACAGTGTCACCAAAGCTACAATTTTAAGTTTTTTTTAATAACATTTATAAAAACATCAGTGTTGCCCAATTCTTAACATTATTAAAAACTTAAAGTTTGTTCATTCACTAGGAGTGTTCATTAACTGGTGTCATCACCCATTTTTTGTTAATCTGCATTTTAAGTACCTATCTATTTTATTTGATAACATTAGTAGGTAAGTATTCGAGAGTCAAGACACATCAAAGGTATATTTTACAAAAGAATCATACTGAAGAATTTCATTGATGTTCACTGATAATATAATATAGATAATTAAGTAGTGTGATTTATTATCTATATCTGTTATGACTATAGTCATTTATAAATGGTATAATGTATGATATGAGATACATCTTATTGATGTTAAATAAATATATAATATTTATGTTATTTTTAAGTATTTTAAAACTTTTTTGGAACATAAATAACCAGTTTTATTAATGTTTTTTTTCTGTTTCGATAAAACATCATTTTTACATAAAATTGACGTTTACTATTTTGTTATATTTATGTAAATATAACATAATTACCAAGTAAATTTTCGCGGACATTTGCAGTTCATTTAATGTTTAATTTACATAATTTTTACGATAATTTTTAACGTTTTAAGTAAACTTCAAACGTTTATAAAACATAAATATTACAATTTTTTTCACAGTGGGTAATGTATTGCTTAATATTTATACTTTTCACTTGGTTTTGGTTTAAGTATTAGTTATTTGTTATTAATAATTGTAATAATAATAATTTTATTTTATATATTTATTTGTGATTTATTGACAAGTTTGTACGCCTCATCATTTTGTACTTTCATTTGCGCTACATTTAAACAATAGCGTTAGAAGTAGCGCACTACATTTAAAAAAAAAAGTAGCTTTAGCGATAGCTAGCTACTTTTGGAGGGGGGGAGTAGCAGTAGCGTTAGCGTGCTACAAAAAAACAGTAACGTCCCGACCACTGGTTAGAATATAGTCCCAATATAGTCCTAATGTAAGCGTAGACATTTTTTTGTTATATGATTCTTTTAAACAGTGACTAATTATTAGGTGCGTAATTTTATTTCTTAAGGTTGAACTTAATGTTTTGTTTAGTTCAAAATATTTTAGCACAGTATTTATATTTCCCTCTTCAGTCTTCATATTTTGTAAAAATATTATATACATAATTTTGTTCCTGTTATAGAAATATGAAAAATACTGATTTTATTATTTTATATAGGTAGGTATTTATATACGAAATATTGTACAATTAGGTACTGTAAATAATATCCACGTAATTATTATTATAAAAGTAAGAATGATTTACTTTTGGTTTTGATTTATTTTCTGAGAACGAGTTGACTGAAATACCATCATCATTATTAGTCTACAACAAGATAATTAAAATTATTATTCTAATGAAACATTTAGGTGTGATTTAATTTTTTAACTTAAAAAATAATATATATTGTGTGTATTTATAAAAAATATTTCAACAGAATGCCACATATTCACTTTTTAAGGGTTTTAAATAGGCAATTTTAAAAGAATTATATATTTTAGATAATATAATATTAGAATATTAATTCAAAGTAACTTATATATAATCCGTTGTACGTCATTGGTAGTTATTGTGTAATCACGAATTAACATATAATAACAATGTTGTGCTAAAAAGAACCAAGAAGGTGTCATACTAATAAACTACATTTACGGTACCCTAAGCGTAGCATTTTTTAAGGAGTAATGTTTAGGCAATTAATATGTCATGTACATTTGGGCTATAATATCACTGTGTGAGTAGTGAATGAACGATGTGTGTGTAATACTGTAATCCATTATCGAGTTTAACTCTCATACGCACACGCACATGTTTAAATTTGCATAACTATAAAAACTATTAAAAACTACAGTATTAAATTAAACATAGATATTTCCTGGAGTTAATTGTCATACCGATAAATGGTTGAATTTTAAAGGTTTTAGATTAGGCTATTTAAGAAATACTTTTTCTGTAAAATGTGATGTAACCAAAATAAAAACAAATGCTTTATCTTAATTTGAAAATCGACTTTCTAAACAGCCTAGTTGTTTTTAAAATAATTCATACATACATTAAATATTAAAATAGGACACTGATAAATTTGATGTATCACCGATTATTGGCCCAAAGCGTATACAAATTACGAGAGCTGCGATCGCCTTAAGTACATATAAGTATATTTTAAATCAAATTAACAAAATACATGTGAATGGTTTAGTGTATAGTGTACAATTATTGATATACATAAAAAATTACATTTACAATACTCGTTTTAACTTAAAAAAGTGGTTAAGTGGGTAACACTTTACTGTACATTAGGTGTCTAAAAAGTCACAGTAATGGATGTGTTAAATTTGAATTCATTAATATAAAATCAATGTACACGAAAAACGATTCTGAGCTAGTCAGACTGCAATATTATTAAGTTTATTTTATGATATCATAAAATAATTTATTTTACTATTAGATAAAAGTACAGCAGTAGGTACAATTAATTTTTATCAAAAAAATTGTAATACAAAAATTTCATTGTGTGTATACTCTATAGTCTATACAGTATAATAATGTACTCTAAAAGTCGCAAGTACTCATGAATAATACTTTTAAACGGCCTACAGCAAAATAACTAAAATCGTTATTCCGGGTTTTAAATGTGGTTTTATCCAAATATGAACTAAAAAAACTATAATCATATATTTTTTACCTTTTTTCGGTACAGCAAGAACTATTTATGAGAATCTTTGTTTTAAATTCTCAATTATTAGGTATCAAAATTGAAATATTTTAACATTTTTAACTACAAAATAATTTGAAAATATTCGCCGTTTTGATAAATTTTATCAAAATTTGCAATTTTTAAATGCTTATAAAAAAAACCCGTGCCTATGGATTTTTAATATTTATCAACCGCTATTATAGAAACTTATAAGCAACCTTGTATTTTCGAGCTTTTATCGTGTACAAAAAATGATAAATTGATACATTTTAAGTACTTACGGTCAACAGTTTTTGAATAACAACAAAATAAGAAAACCGTTGTTTGAAAATTTGTTAATATGCCTAACTTTAAACGCTCGACAAATTAATTTGATTTGTGGTCAAATTCAGCGAACTTTTTTTGTTGTATGTAGGAAAACTTTGAGACTCTTGAATAAAAATTTAAAATCTTAGATGTACATAGAACATTTTTTATAAATTTTGTACTTAAAATAATTTGTTAATTTTCCTATTTTTGATGTATCTTGTCAAAATTATAACTGACGCTCATAAAAAAATATTGCGGATATTCGCCCAACTTTTTTTTTTAAATTTCTATTAAGTAAAAAACTTATGAGGAACGTTGTATTACATTTTCAAGTATTTTACCAAGCGAAAAAATGAAGAGAAAAACTATTTAATTAATAGATAACACTGTCGATAAAACAGGGTTCGGCTCACGGCTTGAGGTTCGTTTAAGTTTGGTAGTATAATAATTGGTCTAATAATATGTGAACATAATAAATAACAAAATGTAGGTAATGTGAATGTGGCAACGTCGGATCAAATATTTGTATATTGCTCACTGTATCAATGTTAAATTTACCATTTTTTCTCCAACATCGTCCTCATCATATATTTGTTAATTGTTGTATGTCCGGCATTATGCCACTCATTTAGACAATGTGCAATTGCTTCTGCTGCCTTCATAGAAATAGTTTTTAATACTAGTATTAGTTGTATTAGTATACAATTAGTTAAGCATAATAGTAATTAGGACAAATTACTTTGTAGCTAAAAATTAAATCCAATAATAATTTAATTATTGGAAGCTAAATAAAAAATACGTTTACCTAACCTTTGATATTATACATTTTAAATGGTATTCCAACTTTTCATATTGGCAAAACATATAAAAATGTTTAAATGGTACAAATATACAATATTATACATATAAACTAATCTAATATGTCAACCGAAGTACTCATATTCCATTAATATCAGTGATTATACTTAATACTCTTGGAATATTGTAATTATTAATTAAAAAAGTATATTATGCTCAATCGTGTTTAACCGCTTTTCGCTGGGGATGGCGCTACAATACTAAGTACAGTACCTATACCTTTTCAATAATATTTCATATTTAAGTATGTACTGGTTTTATGTTTAGTTCTGATTACTTTATATTACTATATATTAAATGTACAGAATGGATAAGTAGCACACTGTTGTACCTTTAAAATGCATAATTAAAATGTTCTGTTTAATAAATATATTATATTTTAATACCGTTTTAGGTATAGGTAATATGAGTATTATTCATACGGTACTCACTTATGAATAATACTGTTTGTGAATTGTGTATATAGACAATACAGTAGTATAACTAACTTGAAGTTTTTG